CTTAGATGTCAGCCATTGGCAGCTCTTGCGTGACACCTGCCGCTTGTCAGGCCCTTTGAGGAGGCCACGCTATTCGTGAGTCGGCAGGACTATGGGATGAACGACGTCATTCCTCTGTTGCACGTCCTGGAACAAATGCTGTTAACAATGGCTGGTCAGGGTGCGGTAGACGTGGCGCACAGATCTCAACGCCACATGACCCCTGTGGGGGCAGGACAGGAAGAAGAGGAGGAGGTAGAGGAGGACATTGGTGCTCAGGAAATTATTGAGTGAAATGGGTGGTTTTTCCACTCAGCGGACAGGAGTGGAGGAGCAGGAGCATCTGGTAGAGGAGGAGGAGGAGACAGAGGACCCAGACGCACCGTGGCAGTATGCTGTGGAGATGGAGGCAGGGAAGTCCCTCGCATTCCTTGGCACAAATGGCCCATAGCATGCTCGGTTGCTTGAGTAGCGACAGCCGAATAATAACCATCAGACAGAGGGATGACTTTTGGCTGTCCACCTTGTTGGACCCTCGCTACCATTCAAAAATGGTGGCCTTTCTCACACCTGCGGAGAGGGAGGCCAAAATAACGTACTATAAAAACCACCTATGTAGTCAGTTGGTCTCTGCCTTTCTGCGCCAACGTCCATCCTCAGACACTGTGGGCCCTGTGCGCTCGCGTTCCGCTGCCATGGCAGCAGGGGAGGGGTGGGGTGGTAGGAGCAGTGGCAGCTCCACCAGCAGCGGCTGCCTCAGTCTGCAGTCGATGATGAGTAGCTTTCTTCACCAGCGCAGTGAGGAAACTACTAACCAGCCGCAGCAGCAGCAGCATCAGGTGGACCTGGAGCAGGACCTCAAACAACAGGCTTGGGCCTACTTGGACAGCACCCTGCCAAACCGAGGTAGACAATCCCCTTGACTACTGGGCAAACGAAACTTGACCTTTGGCCCCAACTAGCTGAATTTGCCCTTGAAAGGCTGTCATGCCCGGCCAGTAGCGTGGCATCGGAGCGCGTGTTTAGTGCGGCAGGAGGTATTGTAACTCCGCGGCGGACACGACTGTCCACCCAAAGTGTGGAGAGACTCACGTTTGTGAAAATGAATCAGGCGTGGATTAGTCTGGATTTCAAACCACCAGTTCCTGACACAACTGACTAAATCCGCCATGATCATGCCCCAAACATGTTATTATTTTTAACATAGGCCTCTGTATGGCCTTCAATTTAAGCTGCTTACGCTTCGCCACTCTGCCATGGGCCCCTGTACCGCCTCCTCTTGCTGCTGCCAGGTCCAGAGTGTGTCATGGGTCCCTGAACGGCCTCCCATTGCTGCTGTCTCCATCGCCACACTCTGCCATGTGCCACTTTCAGGTCTCCTCGCACTGCTGGTGGGTTCCATTTTGTCATAGGGTTCTGGCAGATTACGGGCCTCCCATTGCTGCTGCCAGGCCCGTAATCTGCCATGGGCCCCCCTACTGACTCCTCATGCTGCTGCCAGGCCCGTAATCTGTCATGGGCCCCTGTACCGCCTCCTCATGCTGCTGCCAGGTCCAGAGTGTGTCATGGGTCCCTGTACGGCCTCCCATTGCTGCTGCCAGGCCCGTAATCTGCCATGGGCCCCCCGTACCGAGGTCTCCTCATGCTGCTGCCAGGCCCGTAATCTGTCATGGGCCCCTGTACCGCCTCCTCTTGCTGCTGCCAGGTCCAAAGTGTGTCATGGGTCCCTGTACGGCCTCCCATTGCTGCTGTCTCCATCGCCACACTCTGCCATGTGCCACTTTCAGGTCTCCTCACACTGCTGGTGGGTTCCATTTTGTCATAGGGTGCTGGCAGATTATGGGCCTCCCATTGCTGCTGCCAGGCCCATAATCTGCCATGGGCCCCCGTACCGACTCCTCATGCTGCTGCCAGGCCCGTAATCTGTCATGGGCCCCTGTACCGCCTCCTCATGCTGCTGCCAGGTCCAGAGTGTGTCATGGGTCCCTGTACGGCCTCCCATTGCTGCTGCCAGGCCCGTAATCTGCCATGGGCCCCCGTACCGACCTCCTCATGCTGCTGCCAGGCCCGTAATCTGTCATGGGCCCCTGTACCGCCTTCTCATGCTGCTGCCAGGTCCAGAGTGTGTCATGGGTCCCTGTACGGCCTCCTATTGCTGCTGCCAGGCCCGTAATCTGCCATGGGCCCCCGTACCGACTCCTCATGCTGCTGCCAGGCCCGTAATCTGTCATGGGCCCCTGTACCGCCTCCTCATGCTGCTGCCAGGTCCAGAGTGTGTCATGGGTCCCTGTACGGCCTCCCATTGCTGCTGTCTCCATCGCCACACTCTGCCATGTGCCACTTTCAGGTCTCCTCACACTGCTGGTGGGTTCCATTTTGTCATAGGGTGCTGGCAGATTACGGGCCTCCCATTGCTGCTGCCAGGCCCGTAATCTGCCATGGGCCCCCGTACCGACTCCTCATGCTGCTGCCAGGCCGTAATCTGTCATGGGCCCCTGTACCGCCTCCTCATGCTGCTGCCAGGTCCAGAGTGTGTCATGGGTCCCTGTACGGCCTCCCATTGCTGCTGCCAGGCCCGTAATCTGCCATGGGCCCCCGTACCGACTCTCCTCATGCTGCTGCCAGGCCCGTAATCTGTCATGGGCCCCTGTACCGCCTCCTCATGCTGCTGCCAGGTCCAGAGTGTGTCATGGGTCCCTGTACGGCCTCCCATTGCTGCTGCCAGGCCCGTAATCTGCCATGGGCCCCCGTACCGACTCCTCATGCTGCTGCCAGGCCCGTAATCTGTCATGGGCCCCTGTACCGCCTCCTCATGCTGCTGCCGGTCCAGAGTGTGTCATGGGTCCCTGTACGGCCTCCCATTGCTGCTGTCTCCATCGCCACACTCTGCCATGTGCCACTTTCAGGTCTCCTCACATGCTGGTGGGTTCCATTTTGTCATAGGGTGCTGGCAGATTATGGGCCTCCCATTGCTGCCGCCAGGCCCGTAATCTGCCATGGGCCCCCTTACCGACTCCTCATGCTGCTGCCAGGCCCGTAATCTGTCATGGGCCCCTGTACCGCCTCCTCATGCTGCTGCCAGGTCCAGAGTGTGTCATAGGTCCCTGTACGGCCTCCCATTGCTGCTGTCTCCATCGCCACACTCTGCCATGTGCCACTTTCAGGTCTCCTCACACTGCTGGTGGGTTCCATTTTGTCATAGGGTGCTGGCAGATTACGGGCCTCCCATTGCTGCTGCCAGGCCCGTAATCTGCCATGGGCCCCCGTACCGACTCCTCATGCTGCTGCCAGGCCCGTAATCTGTCATGGGCCCCTGTACCGCCTCCTCATGCTGCTGCCAGGTCCAGAGTGTGTCATGGGTCCCTGTACGGCCTCCCATTGCTGCTGCCAGGCCCGTAATCTGCCATGGGCCCCCGTACCGACTCCTCATGCTGCTGCCAGGCCCGTAATCTGTCATGGGCCCCTGTACCGCCTCCTCATGCTGCTGCCAGGTCCAGAGTGTGTCATGGGTCCCTGTACGGCCTCCCATTGCTGCTGCCAGGCCCGTAATCTGCCATGGGCCCCCGTACCGACTCCTCATGCTGCTGCCAGGCCCGTAATCTGTCATGGGCCCCTGTACCGCCTCCTCATGCTGCTGCCCGGTCCAGAGTGTGTCATGGGTCCCTGTACGGCCTCCCATTGCTGCTGTCTCCATCGCCACACTCTGCCATGTGCCACTTTCAGGTCTCCTCACACTGCTGGTGGGTTCCATTTTGTCATAGGGTGCTGGCAGATTACGGGCCTCCCATTGCTGCTGCCAGGCCCGTAATCTGCCATGGGCCCCCTTACCGACTCCTCATGCTGCTGCCAGGCCCGTAATCTGTCATGGGCCCCTGTACCGCCTCCTCATGCTGCTGCCAGGTCCAGAGTGTGTCATAGGTCCCTGTACGGCCTCCCATTGCTGCTGTCTCCATCGCCACACTCTGCCATGTGCCACTTTCAGGTCTCCTCACACTGCTGGTGGGTTCCATTTTGTCATAGGGTGCTGGCAGATTACGGGCCTCCCATTGCTGCTGCCAGACCCGTAATCTGCCATGGGCCCCCGTACCGACTCCTCATGCTGCTGCCAGGCCCGTAATCTGTCATGGGCCCCTGTACCGCCTCCTCATGCTGCTGCCAGGTCCAGAGTGTGTCATGGTTCCCTGTACGGCCTCCCATTGCTGCTGCCAGGCCCGTAATCTGCCATGGGCCCCCCTACCGACTCCTCATGCTGCTGCCAGGCCCGTAATCTGTCATGGGCCCCTGTACCGCCTCCTCATGCTGCTGCCAGGTCCAGAGTGTGTCATGGGTCCCTGTACGGCCTCCCATTGCTGCTGTCTCCATCGCCACACTCTGCCATGTGCCACTTTCAGGTCTCCTCACACTGCTGGTAGGTTCCATTTTGTCATAGGGTGCTGGCAGATTACGGGCCTCCCATTGCTGCTGCCAGGCCCGTAATCTGCCATGGGCCCCCGTACCGACTCCTCATGCTGCTGCCAGGCCCGTAATCTGTCATGGGCCCCTGTACCGCCTCCTCATGCTGCTGCCAGGTCCAGAGTGTGTCATGGGTCCCTGTACGGCCTCCCATTGCTGCTGCCAGGCCCGTAATCTGCCATGGGCCCCTGTACCGACTCCTCATGGCTGCCAGGCCCGTAATCTGTCATGGGCCCCTGTACCGCCTCCTCATGCTGCTGCCCGGTCCAGAGTGTGTCATGGGTCCCTGTATGGCCTCCCATTGCTGCGGTCTCCATCTCCACACTCTGCCATGTGCCACTTTCATGTCTCCTCACACTGCTGGTGGGTTCCATTTTGTCATAGGGTGCTGTATGGCCTCCCATTGCTGCTGCCAGGCCCGTAATCTGCCATGGGCCCCCGTACCGACTCCTCATGCTGCTGCCAGGCCCGTAATCTGTCATGGGCCCCTGTACCGCCTCCTCATGCTGCTGCCAGGTCCAGAGTGTGTCATGGGTCCCTGTACGGCCTCCCATTGCTGCTGTCTCCATCGCCACATTCTGCCATGTGTCACTTTCAGGTCTCCTCACACTGCTGGTGGGTTCCATTTTTTCATAGGGTGCTGTATGGCCTCCCATTGCTGCTGCCTCCACCGCCACACTGTGGCTCCACACTCTGGTTTTGGCCCCGTGACTGCCCAAATGAGTGAAGTGTGCGGTGATTCTAAGATCTGCATGTCATACTGACTGACAGTATTATTTCTCTTCCCCAGCAGACTCCAAGGGCATTTAAATTAAAGGTACAGTGTTCTGCACTAATATAAAGGCTCTCTGAAGCCTAGAAACACCCTTTTTATAAGTTAAATTTGTAGCGAATATATTTGACTCGAATCAAATTTATTCCGCGAATTCGCCGAATCGAATTTTTGAATAATTCGCTCATCTCTAATTGGAGCATTTAGATGCAGAAATCTGAATGCTCCAAAATCATTTTCAGGAGAGGAGGATTTGGGCAGAAATAAATGCCTGATGTGCCTTACGTGTGTAAATATGCCCAAACACTAGGCACGTTTTTCACTTGAGCGTTCATTCAATTCAATGACCAGAAAAATATCCTATTTTGGCTAATTAAATGAATGTCAGAATACATCTAAATGCGTTTGAAAAACATGGCTTTAGGAGTGTTGTTATTGCGTTTTTTTCTCCTATAAAACATGTTCCCAAAGGTGAACTTATCCTTTAAGCTATCTCTTCTCTAGACCATAGGACAAATCCTTATATCCAAAACAGAAACAATGACTTTATATGACAGAAAACATGCTTTTCTCTTAGCATCCATTTTTCATTCCTAAGTTTATTAACTGAAGCGGATTTAACAAATATATAGAATAGCAGCAATGAATTGCTACTGTTCAAATATGATGTTGACCCTCATACATTCAGGAACCTATCCAGCTAAAAAACTGGTATAAAGCACATTGAACATACTGTATAAATGATGCTGCTTTTATGGCTCCTGGTGTATGTCAAACATTTTTTTATAACCTTAAATAATAATAAAAAAGTAAATGGCTCACTAAGAAATTAAACACACAGGATAAGCTAAAAAGCACATTGAAAACCTGTACACTTTGCTGTTAAATTAAAAAAAAAAAAGTTCATGTTTACTGTACGAGTACTGTATCCATAGAATCTGTATTACAAGCACCAGTATATTAGATCACATATGCTGACTAGTTATTTTTTTAATTTTCCCATGTGCAAATCAATACTGCCCCCCCCCCCCACTCCCTTCCAGTTTGTCTATTTTTTATATGGGAACAGCCTTTATAAAGACCAAACACTTTTTTATATGTTTCAGTGGTGTAGCATGGGTTGGCAGCTGCTGCGGCAAGGCAAGTCATTTGATCCCCCAAATTCGTGGACCTTTAGCACTCCCTGGGTCCCTTCCACTAGTACAGTTCATGCACTTCATTGGTTGAAGGAGGTTTCACGATCTCAGCTGTGAGGGGTTCATGTTAGGAATTGTAGTCTTTCACTTTTGGAGGGGGGGGGGTCACATCCTTGGATCTCAGGGGTACATGCAGGTACTTTTAGTCCTTTACTTTTGGGGGGTGTCATGTCCTCAGCTCTGAGAGGTTCATGCTGTTACATCCTCTAAAAGTGAAGGAATACAAGTCCCAGCATTAACCCCTGAGATCTAAGGATGACTCTTTAGGTCTCTGGGATTCATGCTTGGGCTTGTAGTTCTTCACTAGTTGTGGGGGGGGGCACATCCTCAGCTCTGTGAGGTTCATGCTGCGACTTGTACTTCTTCACTTTTGGGGGGGTCATATCCCAAACAAGTTCTAGCATGAACCCCTGAGATCTAAGGATGTGACCTCCTCCTCCTCTTTCTATCCCTCCAAGGGCATTCTCTCATCCAGCACCAGCTCAGCTGACATCCTCTCTGTTCCTGCATCGACAGCTCCCTCACGGCAGCTCAACTGGTTCCATCCGCGGCCTCACCTCACAGACTCAAATCCAGTTCCTGCCTTCCTTTTCTGAGCACCAAGCAGGGAGCTGCCATCACAGAAGCTGGAGGAGGTGGGTGGAGCTGAGCAATGAGAGAAGAAAGTTACATTCTCCTCCGCTCTGAATGCTGGAGCCTCTCTCTGTATTAGTGATGTCACTGGCTGCTAGGTGATGACAGGTGGTCCTAGCAACCAGACAGTGGACAGTGGTGGCCAATGGTGGAACCTGGTCTTGGCTGGAATGGTCGGAGTATGACACAGACACTGGTACCATGAGTGAAATGGTGGCCTTCTTTTGTGGGCATCAGAAGGGCTTGGGATGACACGACTAATTTCTGCATCCCATTAAATGTTGCGCCTCCAGCATCCGCACTGGCTGTCCTCCCCACGCTACGCCACTGATGTGTTTAGCTGGCATACATGGATGCAGAGGTATACATTTTATAGCAAACAACCCTTGTTAATCATGCTGTGTGTATTCCCTATAGAACTGAGTTAAAATATTGAAATATAATTTCCTATATGTACATGGGGTAGCCATATTTACTTGTCATATTCATGCAATTAATTATCACTACTTATTAGGTAAAAATGATTTTTTTCTACTACTCCTCTATTCACATATCTATGTACACATTTAGGGAACTGATCTTTTTATTGACTAATCCATCCTGCATCACATGTTCAACAAGGATACACATTGCACTGTCTGAAAGATAGCTACTAGGGATCACAGCTACAAATGTATATATGAAACATTATCATTAAAATATGGCATACAAAATGAAAAATACCCACTGGTGGAGAGTAACTAAAACTGAACACAGAATTTGATGCAGCTGTGCAGAGTAACCAATCAGCTTCTAACTTCTTAAAAGTGTTACTAAACCCACAACAGTAAAATCAGTCTGTATATGCAGTAAAGCATGCTTGTTATACCAGGGGCGGACTGACAACTCATGGGGCCCCGGGCAATAGGGGATCATGGGGCCCCTGTGTCCTTGCCCAAACTCAAAAAAGCCTATGAAAAAGGTACCAGGGGCATCTCATGGGGCCCCCTACTGACCCCAGGCCCTCGGGCAGTGCCCAAGTTTCCAAATGGTCAGTCCGCCCCTGTGTTATACTCACTATGGAACCTAAGGCATTAATCCTCTGCATTGTGTAAAAAGGCCATTTGATCCTTTCTTCTCTGTTCCTCCCCTTTTTCAAGCGACCACCTCTTATCTCCTGATAAGACAGACTGAAACGTAGGCATTTTGCACATGCTCAGTTTGGTGTGTATTGCTGAAGAGGTTTTTTTTTTTTTCTTGGGAGAGTACATGTGATCAGCACAGGACCAATCAGCACTGTGCAGACAGAGGTCAGGGGTTTAGCTTCCTCCTAGAGCAGAAAGAAAACTCCTAGAAGCTTTAGGCCTGGACACTGATAAAAGTCACAAGACTGCTCTAACTTCTGATGAAAAAAGGTATTTAACAGTTTATATTTACTAAACTAATTGCATTTCCATGTTCTGTGTACTGTGGGAGACCAGATATAGTGAATGCAGGCTCCAGGGTTTAGTAACACTTTAACTCAGTTAAAGTTTAACAATAAAACCTGGAAGCTGATTGGTTACTATGGACAGCTGCACCAGATTCTGTGTGCATCAGTTTCAGAAAATCCATTATCAACACCAATACTACCGTTCACTATGGTTTATATAAGAGATTCCATATTTTATTTTGTTGTCCCAAATGTCATGTCCTAGGAGAAAAGTACAGATTACTACAGACTGAAACTACAGATTAAGCCTGTGTCTTCAATATTCTGTGGTACATGGGTCTACTATCCTAAAACAGTCATTGGGCACAATTCACTAAAGCTTATCGTAGTTAAGTCAGTCACATGACCACATATCACATGCGATGCTGAAAATGTCAGTTCACTATGCCTAGTATGCTGTATTTGCTGAAAACAGCAAAAACACTCGGTAAACACCACATAAAAAGACCTTAAAGTCAATTCACAAAAGGAAATAAATAAGTGCATGCGATAATTAAGTAGTGGTCCAGGCATGCGGTATGTACTGTTATCTGTCAGTACTGTCATGGGTTGTTAAGGAATGTGGTCGCTGAATCCATAACAACCTATGAGTCATCAGCTGTCAGCTGGGTTCCCCACTGACAGCTAAAAAAAAAAAAAATTCCCCGGCAAATAAAAATATTTAAAAAACGACACAGGGTCCCCTCCAATCTGTACCAAGTACCAAGCCCTTTGGGTCTGGTTTGGATTTTGAGGGGAACCCCCACACCAAAATGTTTTTAAAAATGGTGTGGGGTTCCCCCCAAAATCCATACCAGACTCTTATCTGAGCATGCAGCCTGTCAGGTCAGGAAAGAGGGGGGGAGGGGACAAGCGAAAGCCCACCCCTCCTGAACCATACCAGGACACATGCCCTCAACATGGGAGGTGCTTTTGGGCAGGGAGGCTCCCCCCCAAAGCACCTTGTCCCCATGTTGATGGGGAAAGGGCCTCTTCTCCACAACCCTGGGCTGTGGCTGTGGGGGTCTGCGGGTGGGGGGCTTATTGGAATCTGGAAGCCCCCTT